GGATATATTGAAGCAACATCTCAAGACATCAGTCAGGAAGTTAAAACTTGGTCGCAAATGGGTCTTCCAAATGGACAATGACCCCAAGCATACTTCCAAAGTTGTGGCAAAATGGCTTAAGGACAACAAAGTCAAGGTATTGGAGTGGCCATCACAAAGCCCTGACCTCAATCCTATAGAACATTTGTGGGCAGAACTGAAAAAGCGTGTGTGAGCAAGGAGGCCAACAAACCTGACTCAGTTACACCAGCTCTGTCAGGAGGAATGGGCCAAAATTCACCCAACTTATTGTGAGAAGCTTGTGAAAGGCTACCCGAAACGTTTGACCCAAGTTAAACAATTTAAAGGCAATGCTACCAAATACTAATTGCATGTATGTAAACTTCTGACCCACTGGGAATGTGATGAAAGAAATAAAAGCTGAAATAAATCATTCTCTACTATTATTCTGACATTTCACATTATTAAAATAAAGTGGTGATCCTAACTGACCTAAGACAGGGAATTTTTACTAGGATTAAATGTCAGGAATTGTGAAAAACTGAGTTTAAATGTATTTTGCTAAGGTGTATGTAAACTTCCGACTTCAACTGTATTAACAAGTAAAAAATCCCATGATAAAATCCCATAGAGAATGCTAACTAAATGCTAACGAGCGCTTTGCAAACATTTTGTACCTTTTCTGACCTAAACTATACAAGTATACAAATAACAAAAAAATGCTACTCAGCCATAGGAGGTTGGTGGCACCTTAATTGGGGTGAATGGGCTCGTGGTAATGGCTGGAGCGGAATAAGTTGAATGGTATCAAATACATCAAACATGGTTTCCATGTGTTTGATGCCATTCCATTCGCTCTGTTCCAGCCATTATTATGAGCCATCCTCCCCTCAGCAGCCTCTATCTCTACTCACAGTTTGCTGCACGCACAAAATAAATATTAGCCAGCAAGGCTCTTCATCCAGGAGGGGATTCTCTGCTGTTACCAAGCGAATGCTTGATTTTGGAAGAAGCTAACCACTTAGCTAGATAGCTAACTAGCTACTAAATTAGCAAACCAAATGCACAACTGCAGAGCATTTACACACACACAGACACACACACACACACACACACACACACACACACACACACACACACACACACACAGCTAGCTCTAAGCCTAAGTGCTGTAACAATGGGGAAAAATCACTTTCCCCTTTCATTATCCTGCTGACAAACATGTGATGCTCAGCTGGTAGAGCGCGGCGCTTGTAACGCCAAGGTAGTGGGTTCGATCCCCGGGACCACCCATACACAAAAATGTATGCACACATGACTGTAAGTCGCTTTGGATAAAAGCGTCTGCTAAATGGCATATTATTATTATTATTATTATTATTGATGGTTTCTTTAGATTGCTCAGCAATTTCACCAAACCTCCATCAATAAAGAGAGGCTCACTAATGGTACGGCTAGCTGGCTAACTGTGTGAGAGAGACATGACGTCTTCTTCTCCATCTTCTTCTGCCCCCCCCACACACAGACACACAGACACACACACACACACACACACACACACACACACACACACACACACACACACACACACAGCTAGCTCTAAGCCTAAGTGCTGTAACAATGGGGAAAAATCACTTTCCCCTTTCATTATCCTGTTGACAAACATGTGATGCTCTTGTCTTGATGGTCTCTTTTGATTGCTCAGCAATTTCACCAAACCATCAATAAAGAGAGGCTCACTAATGGTACGGCTAGCTGGCTAACTGTGTGAGAGAGACATGACGTCTTCTTCTCCATCTTCTTCTGTTTGCTCAGAGACAGACCCCTCCTCTGTTCAATCCAGAGGGGGAGAAAGGCCCTCAGTCCGTCAGTCCCTACTGCCTTCACTGTGCTCTCTCATCTCTCATCTCTCATCTTTGTATGTGTATAGTCCCCACAGCCATCTCTGTCTGTGCTGCAGACCTGTCATTCTCTACGTCTGTGGGTTGTCCTTCTCTCTCCTGTCTCAGAAGGGTTGGTCTGTTTGGTTCTCTGTTCAAACCCAGAGAGAGAGAGAAAGGCCATCAGTTAGTCCCCACTGCTATCACTGTATGCGTATAGTCCCCACTGCCAGAATGTATGTTAGTGATGCGCGGGTTGACTCATAACCCGCAGTCCCCGCAGTTATATCCGCAGGGCAGGCAGGTTTAGGATCATTAAATATTGTGTGGATGAAGGGCGGGCAGGTTGAATAAAGAGAAAACGATACCTTAAAAAATCCATAAATGTATAATTCTTGTGCAATTTATATTTGTAGGACACATGGAGGTTTTCCTTTCATTATTTCAGGATATCTGGCATTAGTGCGTAAGCCTATGGCCTAACTGTATCCATGGCAAATAGCCTACAGGCCAGTCACCAAATGCTTTTGGGAACGGGCAGAAAAAGTTAATGTTGATCCTCGGAGGCAAAAAGGACAATATCTAACTAAAGCAAATTGTAGTTTTTCTATTGATAATGTAAAATTAACAGCCATGCAGAAAGACTCATGTGAAGGTGAAATTACAGAGGAGGAACTTCTGGTTGCAATTAAAGACTTTAAGTCTGGGAAAACTCCAGGGTTGGATGGCATACCAGTCGAGGTATACCAAATCTTTTTTGATATACTCAGAGGACCGTTATTAGCATGTTTTAACCACTCCTATGTAAATGGTAGATTATCAGACACTCAAGAAGATGGTCTGATTTCATTATTACTGAAACAGGATACAAGTGGAAAATATAAAGATCCACACTTCAGTGTTGTGATGCAAAAATTCTAGCAAAATGTATAGCGCATGGAATTAAAAAGGTATTGTCGGACATTATTCATTCTAATCAGACAGGTTTTTTACATGGGCGATACATTGGAGATAATATAAGGCAAGTACTGGAAACAATAGAACACTATGAAAAATCTGGGAAACCAGGCCTACTATTCATAGCAGACTTCGAAAAGGCATTTGATAAAGTACGACTGGGGTTTACATTTCAATTTTGGACAATCTCTTATAAATTGGGTTAAAATCATGTATAGTAACCCTAGGTGTAAAATAGTAAATAATGGCTATTTCTCAGAAAGTTTTAAACTGTCAAGAGGAGTGAAACAAGGTTGTCCACTATCGGCATATCTATTTATTATTGCCATCGAGATGTTAGCTATTAAAATCAGATCCAACAATAATATCAAGGGATTAGAAATCCAGGGCTTAAAAGCAAAGGTGTCATTGTACGCTGATGATTCATGTTTTCTTTTAAATCCACAACTTGAATCCCTCCACAGTCTCATAGAGGATCTAGATACATGTTCTAACCTCTCTGGATTACAACCAAAGTATGATAAATGTACTATATTACATATTGGATCACTACAAAAAATACAATTTTTACATTACCATGTAGTTTACCAATAAAATGGTCTGATGGTGATGTGGATATACTCGGAATACATATCCCAAATAAAATAAATCATCTCACTCCAATACATTTTAATAGAAAGTTAGCAAAAATAGATAAGATCTTGCTACTATGAAAAAAGGTAAATACCTGTCAATTTGTGGAAAAATCACCCTGATTAACTCTTTAGTATTATCCGAGTTTATCTATTTGCTTATGGTCTTGCCTACGCCTAGCGAACAGTTTTTTAAATTATATGAGAAAAACATATTACATTTTATTTGGAACGGCAAGCCAGACAAAATTAAACGGGCCTATTTATATAATTAATATGAATTCGGAGGACAGAAATGATTAAATATTAAAGCATTAGACCTATCAGTAAAAGCTTCAGTCATACAAAAGTTATACTTAAATCCGAACTGGTTCTCTAGCAAATTAGTAAGATTGCCTCACCCAATGTTCAAGAATGGCCTTTTTCCCTTTCGGATTTAAGTATAACTTTTGTATGAATGAAGCTTTTAGTGATAGGTCTAATTACATTTTACATTTTAGTCATTTAGCAGACGCTCTTATCCAGAGCGACTTACAGGAGCACTAATGCTTTAATATTTAATCATTTCTGTCCTCCAAATTCATATTAATTATATAAATAGGCCCGTTTAATTTTGTCTGGCTTGCCGTTCCAAATAAAATGTAATATTTTTTTCTCATATAATTTAAAAAACGTTCAGTTTTTTTCCCCTAAATGTCTTTGCTCCGCGAAAGAAGCAGAGATGACAGAGAAAACTTAACCGATGTCAACTAGATTGAAGCATACATTATATCGATTTATGACATTATTCTGGTGAGCAAGAGTTTATTTAGTCTTCTATGGCAACATATAGGCTAATGACAGAAGAGAATCTGCATGTATCCTATCTAATTATAGACAAGTTGACTAACAAATAGCCTACCAAAAAGTCAAAAATGATAAGAGGAAACATATCTAAATCAGGAAAAAAAAATCCTGCGCCCGCTGTAGAAAAATCTTTCTGCCTGTAGCCCACAGCACATTTTCTATATTTGCAGGTTAGGGTCGGGGGCGGGCCTCAAATTTTCACTTAATCACATATAGCCGGTTGCGGATGGGTTATTAACAATTGAGGGTGGGTGCGGCTGAACAAACAGCTGACCCGCACACCACTACTGTATGTGCTACAGGCTTGTCATTCTCTCTCTGTATGGGTTCTCCTCAACCGTCTGTCTCTCAGGGAGGTTGGTCCCATTGGGCCTTTTCCTATCACCAACCCCACAGGCAGGCCAAATGATGGTTTGCGGCTTTGAATTCAGATGTTATTTTTGGTGGCACTTTTGTGTTGCTTAGTACCTACCTGTGTCCAATGATTTCAGCTGCTTGAGTTTGTTGCTAGGGCTTAGAAGGGATAGTTATTATCTTTAAGGAATCACTTCTTTTCAAGGCACTGAACCTGAAGAGGTAAATGGGTGCATTTAGTGTGTGTTTTAGTGTTTGTGTGCTGAGTGCATGTGTGACTCATCCAGCCCTGCAGCCCGTAATTTGTGTCCACAACATCTGTATTCTCACTATGATAGGTAACATAGCCCTGCAGAGGAGTGGGACTATGATAGGTAACATAGCCCTGCAGAGGAGTGGGACTATGATAGGTAACATAGCCCTGCAGAGGAGTGGGACTATGATAGGTAACATAGCCCTGCAGAGGAGTGGGACTATGATAGGGAACATAGCCCTGCAGAGGAGTGGGACTATGATAGGTAACATAGCCCTGCAGAGGAGTGGGACTATGATAGGGAACATAGCCCTGCAGAGGAGTGGGACTATGATAGGGAACATAGTCCTGCAGAGGAGTGGGACTATGATAGGGAACGTAGCCCTGCAGAGGAGTGGGACTATGATAGGGAACATAGTCCTGCAGAGGAGTGGGACTATGATAGGTAACATAGCCCTGCAGAGGAGTGGGACTATGATAGGGAACATAGTCCAGCAGAGGAGTGGGACTATGATAGGGAACATAGCCCTGCAGAGGAGTGGGACTATGATAGGGAACATAGTCCTGCAGAGGAGTGGGACTATGATAGGTAACATAGCCCTGCAGAGGAGTGGGACTATGATAGGGAGCATAGCCCTGCAGAGGAGTGGGACTATGATAGCTAACATAGTCCTGTAGAGGAGTGGGACTATGATAGGGAACGTAGCCCTGCAGGGGAGTGGGACTATGATAGGTAACATAGTCCTGCAGAGGAGTGGGACTATGATAGGGAACATAGCCCTGCAGAGGAGTGGGACTATGATAGGGAACATAGCCCTGCAGAGGAGTGGGACTATGATAGGGAACATAGCCCTGCAGAGGAGTGGGACTATGATAGGGAACATAGCCCTGCAGAGGAGTGGGACTATGATAGGGAACATAGCCCTGCAGAGGAGTGGGACTATGATAGGGAACATAGCCCTGCAGAGGAGTGGGACTATGATAGGGAACATAGCCCTGCAGAGGAGTGGGACTATGATAGGGAACATAGTCCTGTAGAGGAGTGGGACTATGATAGGGAACATAGTCCTGTAGAGGAGTGGGACATAAAACACTGAATATACTCCAGTCAGGAAAGTATATTTTTATTTAGATCAGCTATTTTTACGATATCAAAGTCCCATTGCAATTCATAGTGGGGAGAACAAGTATTTGATACACTGCCGATTTTGCAGGTTTTCCTACTTACAAAGCATGTAGAGGTCTGTAATTTTTATCATAGGTACACTTCAACTGTGAGAGACAGAATCTAAAACAAAAATCCAGAAAATCACATTGTATGATTTTTAAGTAATTAATTTGCATTTTATTGCATGACATAAGTATTTGATCACCTACCAACCAGTAAGAATTCCGGCTCTCACAGACCTGTTAGTTTTTCTATAAGAAGCCCTCCTGTTCTCCACTCATTACCTGTATTAACTGCACCTGTTTGAACTTGTTACCTGTATAAAAGACACCTGTACACACACTCAATCAAACAGACTCCAACCTCTCCACAATGGCCAAGACCAGAGAGCTGTGTAAGGACATCAGGGATAAAATTGTAGACCTGCACAACGCTGTGATGGGCTACAGGACAATAGGCAAGCAGCTTGGTGAGAAGGCAACAACTGTTGGCGCAATTATTAGAAAATGGAAGAAGTTTAAGATGACGGTCAATCACCCTCGGTCTGGGGCTCCGTGCAAGATCTCACCTCGTGGGGCATCAATGATCATGAGGAAGGTGAGGGATCAGCCCAGAACTACACGGCAGGACTGGTCAATGACCTGAAGAGAGCTGGGACCACAGTCTCAAAGAAAACCATTAGTAACACACTACGCCATCATGGATTAAAATCCTGCAGTGCACGCAAGGTCCCCCTGCTCAAGCCAGCGCATGTCCAGGCCCGTCTGAAGTTTGCCATTGACCATCTGGATGATCCAGAGGAGGAATGGGAGAAGGTCATGTGGTCTGATGAGACAAAAATAGAGCTTTTTGGTCTAAACTCCACTCGCCATGTTTGGAGGAAGAAGAAGGATGAGTACAACCCCAAGAACACCATCCCAACCGTGAAGCATGGAGGTGGAAACATCATTCTTTGGGGATGCTTTTCTGCAAAGGGCACAGGACGACTGCACCGTATTGAGGGGAGGATGGATGGGGCCATGTATCGCGAGATCTTGGCCAACATCCTCCTTCCCTCAGTAAGAGCATTGAAGATGGGTCGTGGCTGGGTCTTCCAGCATGACAACGACCCAAAACACACAGCCAGGGCAACTAAGGAGTGGCTCCGTAAGAAGCATCTCAAGGTCCTGGAGTGGCATAGCCAGTCTCCAGACCTGAACCCAATAGAACATCTTTGGAGGGAGCTGAAAGTCCGTATTGCCCATCGACAGCCCTGAAACCTGAAGGATCTGGAGAAGGTCTGTATGGAGGAGTGGGCCAAAATCCCTGCTGCAGTGTGTGCAAACCTGGTCAAGACCTACAGGAAACGTATGATCTCTGTAATTGCAAACAAAGGTTTCTGTACCAAATATTAAGTTATGCTTTTCTGATGTATCAAATACTTATGTCATGCAATAAAATGCAAATTAATTACTTAAAAATCATACAATGTGATTTTCTGTATTTTTGTTTTAGATTCTGTCTCTCACAGTTGAAGTGTACCTATGATATAAATGACAGACCTCCACATGCTTTGTAAGTAGGAAAACCTGCAAAATCGGCAGTGTATCAAATACTTGTTCTCCCCACTGTATAGTCTTCGTTCTCAATATCACAAGGCTGTTTGAAAGTTATATTTGTAATTTCCTGGTTAAAGACTGATGACCTTTTGGTGAAATGGCTTTATAAAGGAATAATGCATCACAATCAGAATGCCTGACGAAGATTTGTTGCAATGTCATGTAATTGTACGTCATGTGTCTTTTTGGCATTGAAGTGTGCGTGTGCGCGCGCTCCCCAGTCCTTATCAGTGTGATTCTGTGTGCTGATAAAGCGCTGAGAGTCATATAGAGGTAGTCCCTCCAAATTGTCTATCTGCCAACGAGACGTCTCATTCTAAATCAGATTACCGCCTTTCATTAAAATAATTTTCCATTAGACAAAGAGGACCTTTAGGAAATTGACTCCATATCTGCCTCCATTGCCACTCTCATAGGGTAAATAAGATGACATTGATAAATGTCGGATACGTCTGGTGCTGTATTGGCTGAATGTATTGGTACACTTTTCGAAAAAAGAGTTCCAAAATGGTTCTTCGGTTGTCCCCATAGGAGAACCCTTTTGGTTCCATGTAGAACCCTTTTTGGTTCCAGGTAAAACTATTTTGGGTTCCATGTAGAACCCTTTGTGGAAAGGGTTTCACATGGAACCCAGAAGGGTTCTATCTGGAACCAAAAAGGCTTCTTCAAAGGGTACTCCTATGGGGACAGCTGAAGAACCCGTTTTAGGTGCTATATAGTACCTTTTTTTCTAAGAGTGTAGAGAGGTTGATGGTAACTGGGAAATGTGTTTGTCTAGTAGGCCTACATCACTCATAGGACACGTTCCCAAATGTCACCCTATTCCCTTTATAGTGCACTACTTTTGACCAGCACCCATAGGGCTTTGGTCAAAAGTAGTGCAGTGTATAGGGAATAGGGGGACATTTGGGACGCAACCATATAGAAGTAGTGATGAAATCATGTTATAATTGACGACTCTATAGTCCAGTGGAACCACCCCGTTGAATACAATACAGTAAAAGAGCCTTGCTTTTCTATAACATCTTAATGCAAACACCAGATGATGATGATTGTTGGTGACTTCATACAGTATTTGGGTTTGTAACTGACTGTTGGTTGTACAGTACTATGAGTTGGTAAAAGAGCCTTGCTTTCCATAACATCTCTGCAAACATCATCAGATTTGGACTGTTGGTTGTACAGTACTTTATATTTGGGTTTGTAACTGGGTTCAATTTGACAGAGGACTGAATCTCTCTCTGATTCGTCTCTTGACTTCCTATCTTCCTCTGGATATATTTTTAGCTTTTACAATACAAAGTACATCTTTGGGGAGATGTGCACCTTATTTAGAAGTAGATCACAAAGGGTTGCCCGCTGTCTCTCTCCCTCTCTCTCTATCACTCTCTTTCGCTCTCTTTTCACTCTCACTCTCACTTTCACTCCTTGTTCTCTCGCTCTCTCTCTGTCTCTCTCAATCTCTCTCTTTCTCAAGCCCCCATTCTCTCTCCTCCTCTCTACTCTCCCTCTTTCCCTCTCTTTCTCTCCTCTCGCTCCTTCTCTCTCTCCTTCCTCCTCTCTCTCTCTCTCTCTTTCTCTACTCTCCCTCTTTCACTCTTTCCCTCTTCCCCTCTCTCACTCTCTTACCATCTCTCCCTCCTCTTTCGCTCTCTCTCTCTCTTTCACTCTCTGATAATATTGGGCTCTGACCGCTGACAGCGTGAGTATCTACTATTTTGGTGGCTTAGCTTCTTACCCTTATCAGGCTTTGCTCGACTATTTTCAATTTCCTTCCCTGACAATTTAAAAACCAATTCTGTTCTACAAATAGCTAATTATATTTTGGTCGCTATAGCCCGATGTTAAAGAGGTTATGCTCCATAACAATGATAAGAAGGAAAAGTGACAACTCTGACAAAGTCAACAGGGTCAAGCTTTTTTTTGTCTAATTAGTTGGTCAAGTTTAAGTATCCTAATGTGGGTGATGTGGACATGTTAATTAACATAGTGCTTAAAGTGCCAGTTTACCCATGTGTATTAGCTTAGCATTTGACGGAGCAAAAAGATCACGTTACATTACACTCACTGTGAGGGCTGTATTCTCACTGAGGAGGCTGGAACCATCTGTTTAGCTGGATATCATAGGCCTAGATTTAGTCCAATACATTGTCAAAACAGAATATATCTGGAAAATGCACATTTAGGTTATTTTTTATTCAAATTGTTTATGTTCTCATATATTGGCAGTCACAGTGTAACAAAAATGTTATAAACACAAGTAGATTATCTGTTGAATGTTGATTCCTTGCGGCTAACCAACCAAGCCACAAATATGAAGGATTACTTTTCTCACGCTCTAACAGAGATTCTTCAGCCGATCAGTGGTTTGTGGGTTTGGATGGATAAATCCTTCTCTTTGGTATTGCCTTCTCTATTGAAACACTAGTCACATCCCACTGGACACAGACAGACCAGTTCAACGTCTAGTTTTGATTTATATTTGGTCGAGTTGTCAACTAACGTGAATTCAACGTGAAATAAATAAAACATTCACTCTGTCATTGGATTTAGATTAAAAGTTGGGTGAAAAAATTATGAAATTCCCTTAGGTTGATGACTTCTTGCAAATCCAATCAGTTTTTCACTTTGATTCAATGTCATTTTTTTGGTCGAAATGACGTGAAAACGATGTTGATTCAACCAGTTTTTGCCCAGTGGGAAACCTAATCTCTGCTGGTGAGATATGATCCAGCCACCCACCCTACACCAGAGCCAATATTTGACATTGTTTCCGAGCTTAGAATGGCTCCTGGTGTTTGATCCTACTCTGAAAGGCTTTGTGAATACAGGCCCTGATGTGTTCCTGTGCATGTGATGTTCTAGCCTATTTAGATAAACCCTAATCCCCCTTTACTAATCTGTCCTCATTATCATGACATCTGCACACAAACAACAGTGCTTTCTATTATCTTATTCAGAGATGGAACAGAGATACGTCCATTAAAATACTAAGTAACATAATTAAAAAATACCTTCACAATCCGTCAGTTTAAGCTAGAGATATCTGTTTTTCTGCTTGGGCCACGTCTCAATCCACCACATCTGCCTATGTCGGCCTTCCTCATCTGCGGAAGGTGGCTGAGCTAGAGCGGTGATTGTCAGACCATGAGAGATCCTGAAAAATCGTTGTTCTCACAAATATTTATGTAGCATCCAAACGGTTTGGCCTAAAAATTAATATGACCCCCACTGTGCAAAGGGGAGACTCTCACGAACATGATGGTGTTCTC